GAATCTAAAATGTATTCATGATGTTATGATGATCTGAAGTGTTTAAAAACGTACACAATAATAGTTGAACCAACTTTAAAATACCACAAATACAAATGTGCGTGACGATATTTTATTGCTTTAGAAATGTGATTTCAAAAAGTGTATTGAGTCACGCACTGAGTATTCAATACATTTTCACGACAGGTTGGGCAAAATACATATAGGCCCCTAATTGATTCTCCTGACGCAAATTCAGGTATTGTCTATTCCATCACGATGATAACAATTACCATTCACCCCTGTCTCTTATACACATCTAGATGTGTATAAGTTATGATGATCTGAAGTGTTTGAAAACGTACACAATAATAGTTGAACCAACTTTAAAATACTCTACCACAAACACAGAATGTGCGTGACGATATTGTATTGCTTTAGAAAAGTGATTTCAAAAAGTATGTTAGTCCATCGCATACGTAAGAGCTTGTATTGTTGTTTTTTTTTACTTGCAGCGTTTGGGAAATAGGTAGGCCTAATAGGTAAATTGTAATGAATATAATCAATAACTATAGCCTCTAAAACCTAATATTATTGAAGGGTCCTTTTAAAGTTTGAATAGGATTTTTTTAAAGTTAAATTTTTAGATCATTATACGAATAGCCCCGGGCCCCAGTGCTGTGCACTGACTGCACTACCAATACCTACGCCACTGGACCTGAGTATTATTAGTGGTTACATAACGTTTGCTATGCACTGTATCACGTGCTATAGAAGTGGAAGACCATAATGTATTGGGAATGTACCTCTCTCTGGTAGGGCCTACAGTCAGTTTAAAAGTGTAAGGTATAGGATAGTGTGGATTTTAAAACATTTTTCTAATGGTAAGGTTCAAAATAAATGTCAAGGAAAGTAAGTATGATTTTTGGAAAAAAAATGCTCAACATTTTATTTTGAATTCACACCTTGACCTTTTTTTTTTGAAAAATTGTAAAATTTGAAAAATATTGATTTTGAACTGTTAAGTTACGGAAAACAGTAATATGAAGACGTAAAATTAACCAGCAAACACACTAAATTTACGAATTCATTGTATATTTACATAGCAATTCCTTTTCTTTATTTCTACAATACTTAACGGTTAAGGTAGGTAAATTTATACCAATTTATAGTTTAAATTTCGAGCTCTGACGTTAAAACACAATGGCGATTTTAACCTGTAGAAAAACGATATGGTACCGATAATTTAGCTACAACAAATCAACAACATCGTATTTTTATTATACAAGATACCGTTAAAATACAATTTTACGGTAGGTAACGTTATTTTCACAGTAAATTGGATTTTAGTAAACGTAAAATAACAGACACTTTTTTTACTGATAGTAGGATTACAACGGCGAACGTAAAATTACTGAAAAATGTTAATTTTACCCGCGAAGATGAACCGTTATTTAACATGGCGAAGTGTGAGTTCACAGTCTTATCATTATTATACATGTGTATAAGAATACCGTTAAAATTCATAGTACTTGTTAAAACAATATTTTGTACTGTAAAATTACGCCAGTTTATAAATGAACATTACGAACTCCAACGTTAATCAACGTAAATGTTGATTTTGACCTGTTAAATTATGGAAAACAGTAATATGACGACGTAATTTAACCGCCAAACACATTGAATTTACGAATTCACCGTATATTTACATAAAAATTCCGTCGAAATACACGGACGATTTTTAACCTGTAGAAAAACGATATGATACCGGAAATTTACAACAAAACACCAATCTATCGTATTATTATATAAAAAATACCGTAAAAATACAATCACACGGTAGTGACCCTTATTTTTACAGTAAATTTAATTACGGTAAACGTAAAATTACTGACATTTTTTACAGTGTATATACTATTTACCCTAATTTTCGCGCCTCAGCCCTAAACATGGTGGGGCTGAGATGGATGTGGACTCATGGCTTGAAGTAGGTAAAGTAAATACACCAAAGACAATGTTTTAAAGTTTATTTTTCTATGGTACATCACACAGATTATTTAGATCTGATTGCAGAAAATCACTGATCATTATATTATTATCAATCATGGGAACTGTGTTGACTCTTCATTTTAATTATAATGGTGATGTGATGATGATGAATTTTACTATGTAAGAGTGTCATTTCCGGGCATCTAGAGGTAGTACCCTAATTTTCGTGGGTGTGGACTTTTGGTAAAGTAAATATCAAGACAATGTTGTTAAGTTTTATTTTCTATAGTACATCACACATATTAATTAGATACTCTAAGGTTGCTGAAAAAAGCTTATAAAAGATCATGAGAAATTTGTTGGTGCTTCATTTTAACTATAATGGTGATGTGATGATGATGAATTTTACTATGTAAGAGCGTCATTTCCGGCCATGTAGAGGGTACTATTTTCTCAAATTTTTCCCCCTTTTTCGTTAGGGACAATTGCCATCCCCACAATGGTTGGTGTTTCGTCCGAAACAAAGATAGTAGACATAGAGGGCGCCAAATTTGCTAAAGTGGTTACCATGCAACATGTGCCATGAACGTTTATGAGCGTAAATGTTAGTTTAAACATGGACCTATAAGTCCATGATTTAAACATACCTCCATGGTTTAAAGTACTGGGTTTTCGAACCA